TGCACTCCAGTCTGGGGGACAGAGTGAGACTCCAACTCAAAAAAAAAAAAAGAATAAAGAACTGGAATCTGGCTGGGTCTGGTGGCTCACAACTATAATCCTAGCACTTTGGTGGACTGTTGGGTGGTTCGAGACCAGGCTGGGCAACCTGGCGAGACCTCATCTCTACAATAAATTATATTACAAATAATAGTTTTTGACATTGCAAAACACAAGGTCTGGTTCTTAGCTGATAATACATTTGTCTTGAAGGACTATCATAACTGACATTGTAGAGATGTGCATTGCTAATAGGTTGTATTAAGTACTGGCTCTTAATTGTTCATTCTCTTCCGCCATTTATGCAGTGGGTTTTTGTTTGTTTTGTTTTTTGGAGTTGGAGTCTTACTCTGTCACCCAGGCAACCTACTGGGCTCCAGTGATCCTTCTGCCTCCGCCTTCCAAGTAGCCGGAACTACAGGCATGTGCTACCACGCCTGGCTGATTTTTAAAAATTTATGGTAGAAATGAGGTCTCGCCAAGTTGCCCAGGCTGGTCTCAAACTGGCGGACTCAGGCAGTCCACTTGCCTCAGCTTCCCAAAGTGCTGGGATCACAGGCTGAGCCACCGAGTCCGGCTGTATGTAGTGATTTTTATTTAAGTCCAGCGAGTGTTTTCATCTTTCCTTATTTTCAGACAGCTATTCTTGCAAACCTTCAGAAGAGATTAATTTTTTCTATTTTTACCAGCTGAGTTTGAAGCCCTTTGGAAAATGCAGATTTGAAAATTTTTTTTTTTTGAGTCAGTCTCACTCTGTCACCCAGACTGGAGTGCAGTGGCATTCTTATGGCCACTGCAGCCTCGACCTGCTGGGCTCAGACAATCCTTCTGCCTCTGCCTTCCAAGTAGCTGGAACTATAGTTGCATACCACCATGCCCAGCTAATTTTTTTTATTTATCATAGAGAGGAGGTCTCACCATGTTGCTCAGGCTGGTCTTGAACTCCTGGGCTCAGGCAATTCTCTCACCTCCCCAAGTGCTGGAATTGCAAGCATGAGCCACTGCACCCAGCTAGATTTGGAAGATTTTTTTTTAATGGATTGGAATGCTGTGTCCCCAAATTTTTGAAGTTTGTGATTGCAGTTTTTGTAGGAGACATGTTTTCAGCAGTGCAATATATGGATGTGATCACTTTTTAAAATGTTCGCTGAAAAATTTCTTTTTTTTTTTTTGAGTTGGAGTCTAACTCTGTCGCCCAGACTGGAGTGCAGTGGCCGCTCCCGGCCACCGCAGCCTCGACCTGCTGGGCTCCGGCGATCCTTCCGCCTCAGCCTTCCGAGTAGCCGGAATTACAGGCGCGTGCTACCACGCCCGGCTAATTTTTTGATTTATTGTAGAGATGACGTCTCACCTGCCCAGGCGGGTCTCGAACCCACGGGCTCAGGCAATTCACTCACCTCAGCCTCCCAAAGGTGCGGGATTACAGGCTGAGCCACCGAGCCTGGCCACCAAAAAATTTCTTTTCAAAAAACAATTGTTTTCCTCAAACTCTATTAAAATGTTGCCTTTGTGCTTGGCTCTATAACCAAGTATTAAATCATTGGCTAACCAGCATACCTTTATAACTGCTATGTTTTACAGAATATTCATGTCATCTATAAATCCACTTAGCCAAGCAAACATAACAATTATATGTTGGGATAATCTGAATGAAGGAGTGAGACCAGCACTTTCCAGCTCCATGTGTAGTATTCTTCCCTTGACGTTACTTGCTCATCTATCTGACACACAGCTATTTGCTTTATGGACAGAGTCAAGGTACCAGTGTCAGGATACATGAAAAATACTAGCAGTGCTTAATTTTTTTAAAGAAAAAAATTTACCGTTTTTACTGTTTTCCTCCTGCACCTCAGTGGGTCACCCCACTTAAAATAAGAGAATGCAGAATATCATTATAGCCTTCTAACTGATTCATGTGCCCCAGGTGTCTGAGCATTGATGTATTCTGCATGCTATCAACATAGTTTCCAGGTGTAAAAAGCCCTCTATGACTCACTGCCAAATTAATGTAAAATCTTAGGCTTGAAAGGCAGATCACAGATTTTTGTTGTGATTGTGGGGTGGCTCAGGTTGATGTCATGTAACATATGAGAGATTTTAACCTGTTTTTCTATCACATGACTCTAACATGGTTTTAGAAAATGTCTGTATTCCCTTTGTCAGCTTTTACAGAGTCTGGCTTCAGGACTGTTAAGACACTTAAATGTACGCAGACCTACATGTTTTGTCTATCTATTAGAGACTTGTTAGAATTTAACTCAGGATATTATTTACAGAGTCATGGGAATTTCAAAATTGAAAGGTTGCCATGAAAGTCTGAGAGGGAAAGAAGAAATATATCTGGTTGAAAAGGCTGAAGTCAGAAATTGCAAGGAGGGGAAATGGTGGCATCATCTTTCTTATTAAAAACTTGGTATTTCTTCCATTTCTACAGACTGAAAAATGAGTACTAATGTATTCAGTAGGTTTGCTCTTTTTCTCTTACAGGAAAAGGCATTAATAGCTGCTCAGCTGGACAATGCCATTGAGAAGGAATTACTGGAAAGACTGAAACAAGATACGGTAAGAAAGCTAGTAGCATTCATTTTTTTAGGGGTGGTTATCATGCTAGGAAATAAAGGGCAATATATTTTATTTTTAAAGGTGCTTTTTAAAAAGCACCCAAGTCTGATTTTGTCCCATATAGACCTGCCTTCCTCATTGCAGTTCATTTTCACAAGCACATAAAATGCTCATTGAGACCTTTCCTTATTGCATTTTTCCACAATTCCTGTTCCCAAATGCAACAATTCCAGATCTCTGATATAAAAGCCATAGGGTTTTGTTTCTGCCTGTTACCCTAGTTTTTAAAGGATCTTTAAAATGAGTTTTTATTTTTTATTTTTAAATCAGTGTCATTTATACAGACATGATTAAAGTATACTTCTAATTTCCTCTTGTCAGCAAAATTATATTTGTCTATAGTTCTATTAAATGTTCTGGTTCCGTCCTCCATAGAAGTTAAGTATTTGACATTAACTGCTGGTTATTTAAATGTCAAAATGAGCTTTTTAAAGACACTGCGCTGGGCTCAGTGGCTCAGCCTGTAATCCCGTGCCTTTGGGAGGCTGAGGTGAGTGGATTGCCTGAGCCCGCAGGTTCGAGACCTGCCTGGGCAGCGAGACCTCATCTCTACAATAAATCAAAAAATCAGCCGGGTGTGGTAGCGCATGCCTGTAATTCCAGCTACTCGGAAGGCTGAGGCGGAAGGATCGCCGGAGCCCAGCAGGTCGAGGCTGTGGTGGCCAGAAGCGGCCACTGCACTCCAGTCTGGGCGACAGAGTGAGACTCCAACTCAAAAAAATAAAAATAAAGACATTGCGAGCTCTGGGCTTGAAAATACTCATAAAGTATTATCCTTTAATCACTGAGGAAAAAATAATATGCTTATCAGACAGTGGAACACCAAGTGTGACATTCATATGTAGTTAAAGCCAATCTGTGTTTATGTTCTTCAGTATGGCGACATCTACAACTTCCCCATTCATGCCTTCGACAAGGCTCTGGAACAACAGGAGGCAGAGAGTGATTCTTCAGATGCTGAGGAAAAAGATGATGAAGATGATGATGAAGTAAGTCAGACTTGTTTTTGTTTTATCAAACCTGTAGAACTAGTTATATTTCTTTGTAGTTGAGGACAGAATATCTTCAGTCCCCTACCTAAAAATAACTTGTCATCTTTTTCAATCATGATATTAATTTTGGTTTAGCAGTAGCTGCTTTGTTTCAAGCTAACCAACAAACCATTCATAAATTAACAATTTGTCTTATTTGTTGGAATTCTAAAATTTTTCGTGCACAGTGACAAGTTGTAAAACCTTTTCTATATATACATTTTAACCAAGAATAAGTATTGTCTGATATTTCTAAACTTTTAAAAATTCAGAAGTATTAAACTTAGGAATAAATTTTGATTGTCTAGTAACACTAGACTGTGGTCTGGTTACTTTATTTATATACTTATTTATCAAAGAATAAAGCAATATGTCTAAACTGAATCTAACAGATATGTTTTATTTTAGGATATGGGAAAACGGGAATTTGTGGAAGATGATGAGGTGGATGAGAGTGACATAAGTGATTTTGAGGTAAGCTTTATGATGTCCTGCAGCCTTGCAGCAAAAAAACAGGGAGGGTTTCTGAACACATGGAGGTAAATAAGCTCTCTAGTTTTTGAGGAACAATGGAATTTGGAGGAATCTAGTGTTTTCCCTCCTCTTACCTTTGCTCTCCCCACATTAGGATATGGATAAACTGGATGCCAGCAGTGATGAAGATCAGGATGGTAAAAGCTCCAGTGAGGAGGAAGAAGAAAAGGCCCTTAGTGCGAAACACAAAGGCAAGACACCCTTGAAAGGACCTTTCCAGAGAAAACGAGCATATGTAGAGATCGAGTACGAGCAGGAGACAGAGCCCGTGGCCAAGGCCAAAACCACGTGATTTCCCTTCAAACATTGATACAAAGGACTGACCACTTGGAACTTTTTTTTTTTTTAATCTTAAACACATTTTTGCTCTTTTGTGTTGTATTTAACACAGTATTTGTGTTTCTAATATTTATGCCACTTCAGTGGGGCAAGAAATCTGGAGTGGAAGAAAAGCCCTAAGATGCGAATAGAATATTTTTATAACATATGTGTTGAAGTAACAGCTTGAGCCCAATAAGCTTAGCAGATGAGTTCTTGAACCTGGGATGGGACTGAGGGTGTAAATATTTCTAAATATTAAATGCGAAATTTCTTGGTATCTTGTTTTTCTCTCAAACTTTATTTAGAAATGACAGGAATTCAATTTTTTCTTATTTTTCTTTCTTCCTATGAGGGTAAAAGGAGGAAAAAGAAGCTCTAAGTTAACAATGTTTAATGTAAAAATACCTTTTCCCTTAAATAACTCCATTAAATAACTCCATTCATACAATCTGGGAAAGAAAATCCTTTTCTCTTGGGAAAGTAATGCAAATCTTAGGTTCCATCGGAGGGAGCATCTTCAGAAGCCTGCTGGACTTTTCTGATACAGGTCACCACCTTGCTATCTTCACAACTTTGGAGAATTTTGGACAGGAGACCCTGAAATATGAGAACAAACAGACTTTAATTTCCTAAAGTAATTTTTTCCTTTTTGCCTTGGTTTTTCTTCCTTGGTATGATACTCAAAGGAGAGAATGGATGGCACTAAGCAGTCAGAACAGGTGTTAACTTTAAAAACTATATTAATGTGCTTACAGATATCCTGCTGGCTCATCAAGAAACAGCTTAACTCCAGCAATGGCAATTAGGTTGGATCTAGGGCTTGAAACTACCCAAGAATAAAAAGCTAAGATGAAATACTTTGAATAAACTGATAAAGTGACAAATCATACTATCTCTAATAATTTCTAGGATAGGCATTTCTTTTCATGCTGCCTTCAATCTTTCAATTGAAGATTTCTAAATGGGGTAAGAAATGAGGCAACAGTTTATTAAATACATAGAAATACAAAGCTATTGTATACTATGGCTGCGAGAAGTTAACTTTTGTGAAATATGAAACCAAAGGAGGAATTCCCTGTGGACAAGCCCATTATTTCTTTTTTTTTTTTTAATTTAATTTAGAAGACTAAAACAATTTAAATTTTACGAACTCTTGATCATTATGCTTTTATCCATTCTTTCTTGTCCTTAACCTTCGCAATATGTGCTGGTTCTCCTAACTTTTGGTCTGAATGGTTCTGGGTAGCTTTAAAAGATGTATAAGTATTGCCCAGCTCTACTGAAGGCTAGAGGGCTCAGAAATAGAGAACTAAAACCTTCCATGTTCATTTCCAGACTTGGTTAGGCACCTAAATAGCACATTATAATCAATCATAAGAATCGCCTAAGGAGTTGTAGAGTCTGCTTTACCTTCACCTGTCCTTGAGAGCAGTGATCCAGAAGAATCAGGCAGTCTGTGGCTTCTTGTAGCAGGGCACTCTTAACAGGCTCAGGTGTAAGGTTTGGATCCCTTGCTACATCACATATCAGTTTCAAGAGAACCTTCAATAAGACCACAAGTCTGCAGGAAATTCTGGAATTAGGAAGAAAAACTTAATACTTCCAAAGCTGGAAGAAACTTCACAGACTGTCTAGCCCTCATTTCATAAATGATCGAATTAAAGTTAAATGACGTAAAAGGCCACAGATCTGGAAACTGAACCAGACTCCAGATCTCTTAACCTCAAGTCCCTGTTAGCATACTGCCTATATATACACCCTGCCTAAGAATAATTTCCTTCTAGAAGTTTGGCTCTACTGTAAGGAAACAGCCCCCTTATGGACTCAGAAGGGGGAACCAGGATCCTCCCTTACCAAGGGCCTGTACTTTTGGCCATAATCCTTTAACTTGTAAAAATAAAGGTCTGGAAATGGATATTGGTGATGATTGCACATGTGATTGTACTTAATACCACCAAACATAAGATAATTTTAGGCTGGGCGGTAATCCCAGCATGCTGGGAGGCCATAGTAAGAGGACTTGGCAAGACCTCATCTCTACAATAAATCAAAAAGCTAGCCGGACGTGGTGGTGTGTGCCTGTAGTTACAGCTACTTGAAAGGCTGAGGCAGAAGGATCACCTGAAATCACCTGAACCCAGTAGGGCGAGGCTGTGGTGGCCACGAGCATACCACTGCACTCCAGCCTAGCTGACAGAGTGAGACTCCAACTCAAACAAAACAAAACAAAACAAAAAAAACGCCAGGCTCGGTGGCTCAGCCTATAATCCCAGTGCTTTGGGAGGCCGAGGTGAGTGGGTTGCCTGAGCCCACGGGTTCGAGACCCACCTGGGCAACTTGGCAAGACCTCATCTCTACAATAAATCAAAAATTAGCCAGGTGTAACGCACACCTGTAGTTCCGGCTACTTGGAAGGCTGAGGCAGAAGGATCGCTGGAGCCCAGCAGGTCAAGGCTGCAGTGGCTGGGAGTGGTCACTGCACTCCAGTCTGGGTGACAGAGTGAGACTCCAACTCAAAAAAAAAAAAAGATAATTTTATATATTTTTTGCTACAATAATTTTTAAAAACCTTAATGAAAGGCAGAAAATAATTTAATTTGTAATGGGAAAACATCATAATAAAATCACACTTGTGTACAAAAATGTGACTGGGAGAAAAAAGCTTTCATCCCTTCATCTAAAAACATTTCAGCACTTTCCTGTTGCTCTTGTGCGGCAGCCCACCATCTGTTACCATTCACCTAATCTCTCTGTTCACTTCCATTCTCTGGTTCCTCACAGATATGTTCCTTTTCTAACCTCCCTACATTTGTTCACCTCTCCCTTAGAATCTTGGTGTCTTTAAAGGTCTGACACACAGCCGGGCTCGGTGGCTCAGCCTGTAATCCCGTGCCTTTGGGAGGCTGAGGTGAGTGGATTGCCTGAGCCCGCGGGTTCGAGACCCGCCTGGGCAGCGAGACCTCATCTCTACAATAAATCAAAAAATCAGCCGGGCGTGGTAGCGTATGCCTGTAGTTCCAGCTACTTGGAAGGCTGAGGTGGAAGGATTGCCGGACCCCAGCAGGTCGAGGCTGCGGTGGCCGGGAGCGGCCAGTGCCCTCCAGTCTGGGCGACAGAGTGAGGCTCCAACTCAATAAATAAATATATAAATAAATAAATAAAGGTCTGACAGAATTAATTCAACTCAATTTCATTCATCCATCTATTCTATTTCAGTCCATTCATTCTTCAAATATTTGCGTACCTAATACCAGATGCTGAGTATACTTTGGGAGAATATAACAGATGTAGGCTTCCATCCTCTTGGAGTTTATAGTTAAGCAGGGGAGAAAATAGTAAACAAATGCAATCTAGTTATAAATGTGACAAAGGGAAAGGCTGTCATGGAGGAAAGTTACTCTGGATTCCTTACATCTATAAGGAAGTGAGAGAATATGGTCTAGGATAGATGCCATATATTGCTGGGGCACTGGATTCTCTGCTGAATTAAACTCTCAGTTACACTACACAGACTTTTGCTCACTCAGGAGTTTGGGTTCCAATTTATTCCTGACACCAACCTCAAGCCAGAGTATTATTCTTTTCCAAGCAAGTACATCTTAAATTAGTATTCTCCTCATTTACTGCCCTGTAGATGTTAAATGATGTGTTACGAAGTACTCTATTCTCAATTAGATTTAAGGAACATTAGGATGAACAAAGTTAAGAATATCTTTATTATAGCACTTCTAAATGGCCTTCAATATTCTAATATATATGCATTATAGATCTAGAGAGAGATACAACCAACTTTATTTGACCATAGAATTTTTTTTCTCCTGTGCGGCATCAAAGAATACCTGGGTATCAGAATGCCAATCTAAAACATTCTTAAGATATACTTGAGTTTAAAAGAAGCAATTTGGCCAGGTGAGGTGGCTTGCCTATAATCCCAGTACTTTGAGGGGCCAAGGCGAGAGGATTGCCTGAGCCCCCAGATTTGAGACCAGACTGGGCAATTTGGTGAGACCTCATCTCTACAATAAATCAAAAACTTAAGCCGGGCTCAGTGTCTCAGCCTGTAATCCCACACCTTTGGGAGGCTGAAGTGAGTGGATTGCCTGAGCCCGTGGGTTCGAGACCCGCCTGGGCAGGCGAGACCTCATCTCTACAATAAATCAAAAATGAGCCGGGCGTGGTAGCACGCGCCTGTAGTTCCAGATACTTGGAAGGCTGAGGCAGTAGGATCACCACAGCCCAGCAGATTGAGGCTGCAGTGGCCAGGAGTGGCCACTGCACTCTAGTCTGAGTAACAGAGTGAGACTCCAACTCAAAAAAAAAGACAAAAAAAAACTTAGGTGGGCATGGTGGTGCATGCCTGTAATTCCAGCTACTTAGAAGGCCGAGGCAGAAGGATCACCTGAGCCCAGCTGGTCAAAGCTGCAGTGGCTATAAGCATGCCACTGCACTCCAGCCTGGGCAACAGAGTGAGACTCCAACTCCAAAAAAAAAGCAATTTAATAGTGTCAGAATCTGGAACTGATGCCTTATGGAAGGGTCAGATATGAGCACCTGAAGTAACTACAGGTATATTTTATCTTTCTAATGCCATTTTCTCAGTTCAGAATCTTATGTGAAAATGGGAGGTATTCAAATACATGGCATGTCCTTAATACTTTGTACTGAATGTACATTCAGGCAAGTTATGAAGAGAAAATTGTGAGTTCTGCTCCTTTTAGCATACTTGCTGTACCTGGGCCATGTATGCTGCATGAGAAGTTTTAGGGTTTCCAGTATCTTCAGTCTAGCCTCCTCCTCTGGTCCATCATAAACCTCTAGATAACCAATGATGACGCGCTCCAGCCTCCTCAAGTGTCGGACGGTTAGGATCCCCAACCTAAAGACAAAAGAGAAAGTGTGACACCAGAGAGCTGAAACTGGGGTGTGGGCCAGACCAGCAGCTGGGAACTCACCTCTCCACAAAAGCCGGTAGGTTTCTTGCATAGGTCCTGCGCAGAAGAAGGCGGTGCTCTGACTCCATGTGGGTCAGGATCAGCTGCAGGACCTCATCACAGTGTGTGGTGGGTCGAGCCCTATTTCCCTTCCAGTGCAGGGCTTTCTCTAGGACAGGAAACAAATCCAGCAGGCACAGGAGCACAGCCTAAGGAGGATGAAATGGAAGGAAACTACAGTTCATCCATCTGCATTCATAATCCTCACTGATTTTCCTAGGAGTTTCATTAATCTACTCCTTGGGGTCTACGTCATAGAATTCTGAAAGATGCCGGGCTCGGTGGCTCAGCCTATAATCCCAGCGCTTTGGGAGGCCGAGGTGAGTGGATTGCCCGAGCCCATGGGTTCGAGACCCGCCCAGGCAACTTGGCGAGACCTCATCTCTACAATAAATCAGAAGTTAGCCAGACGTGGTAGTGCATGCCTGTAGCTCTCCTGGGATCTTTGATTTTTCTCTTGGTGTTTTGGATTTAATAATTTTTTGGTTTTTGGCCAGGCACAGTGGCTCATGCCTGTAATTCCAGCACTTTGGGAGGTAGAGGTGAGAGAACCGCCTGAGCCCAGGGCTTCAAGACCAACCTAGACAGCTTGGCAAGACCTAGTATCTATAATAATCCAAAAAATCAGCCATACATGACAGCACATGTGGTTCCAGCTACTTGAAAGGCTGAGGTGGAAGGATCACCTGGGCCTAAAAGGTCAAGGCTGCAGTAGCCGTGAGCATGCCACTACAGCCTAGACAGAGTGAGGCTCCAAATAAAAATAAAATTAAAATGTTTTTTATCTACGATCTTAAGAGTCCTAACCTGTTGGGCTATTAGTACCTGGATTTTCAATACCCAAAATGCTAAAAAGAAAGACAGCATGTAGGGAGCAGGGAGGAAGTAGGGAAGGCAAAAAAAGAAATGAAGCCAGGTGTGGTGGCTCAAGCCTATAATCCCAGCACTTTGGGAGGTGGAAGCAAGAGGATTGCGAGTCCAGGGGTTTGAGACCAGCCTGGGCAACTCGGCAAGATTTCATCTCTACAATAAATAAAAAAATCAGCTGGGTGTGGTGGCACACACCTGTAGTTCCAGGAACTTGGAAGGCTGGGGCAGAAGGACCACCTGAGCCCAGGAGGCTGAGGCTGCAGTGGCTGTGGGTGTGCCACTGGACTCCAACCTGGGTGACAGAATGAGACTCCGACTCAAAAAAAAAGAAACAAGGTTGTTTCCACCTCTAATTTTATTTATTTATTTATTTTATTTTTGGGGTTTTTTTTTGAGTTGGAGTCTCACTCTGTCACCCAGACTGGAGTGCAGTGACTGCTCCCGGCCACCACAGCCTCGACCTGCTGGGCTCCGGCTATCTTTCTGCCTCAGTCTTCCGAGTAGCTGGAATTACAGGCACGCGGTACCACACCCGGCTAATATTTGATTTATTGTAGAGATGAGGTCTTGCCAAGTTGCCCAGGCGGGTCTTGAACCCACGGGCTCAGGCAATTCACCCACCTTAGCCTACCAAAGCGCTGGGATTACAGACTGAGCCACTGAGCCCGGCTCACCTCTAATTTTATATATTAATAACTTGTTTCTTCTGTCTTTGGGCATGTTCTTCCTCCTTCTAAGAAACTTGTGGCCGGGCTCAGTGGCTCAGTCTGTAATCCCAGCACTTTGTGAGGGCGAGGTGAGTGGACTGCCTGAGCCCACAGGTTCGAGACCCGCCTGGGCAACTTGATGAGACCTCATCTCTACAATAAATCAAAAATTAGCCAGGTGTGGTAGCATGCACCTGTAGTTCCAGCTACTTGGAAGACTGAGGCAGAAGGATCACCGGAGTCCAGCAAGTCGAGGCTGCAGTGGCTGCTCACAGCTTACTGCTCACTGTTCCAACTCAAAAAAAAAAGAAAGAAACTTGTATTTGTCCTTCACAAAAGCAAGTATCTCCTTTCCTAAAACCAACCCCAACAGCATCCCAAACCTGGTTAGTTGCTTGTTGCTGGATACCAACAACACTTTTTTTTTTTTTTTTTTTTTTAGTTGGAGTCTCACTCTGTTGCCTAAACTGGAATGCAGTGGCCGCTCCCAGCCACCGCAGCCTCAACCTGCTGGGCTCTGGCGATCCTTCCGCCTCAGCCTTCCAAGTAGCTGGAACTACAGGCGCGCGCTACCACACCCGGTTAGTTTTTTGATTTATTGTAGAGATGAGGTCTCACCAAGTTGCCCAGGCGGGTCTCGAACCCACGGGCTCAGGCAATTCACTCACCTCAGCCTCCCAAGGCGCGGAATTACAGGCTCCTACAACATTTTATAGAAATGTCTTCTAATATAGATATCACTCTGTACTGTAGAGGCATAAATACATATTTATGTATTTACACAAATGTCTCTCCAAAGGCTTTCTTAGTGCCAGAAACCCTATCTGATTCACTTACTCCTGGAGCCTACAATGGTGACTGGGGCACAGTAGATTTTCAATTAATATCTGTTAGATGAAAGAATAAATAGTACTAAAACATTTAACATACAAAGAGTTTCAAATGTATGTATAGCTATAAGGCAGCACAGAAGGAAGAACATTTAAATTAATAAAAGTAGAACTTTTGGGGGGTTTTGATGGAACGAACTATGGGACAGAGTTTGGAAACTCTTGGGGGCTAGGGTGGTGGGTGGAATGCTAAAAAAAAAAAAACTTTTTCAGACATGAAGCTGCCCCCAAAGTAATATACAATTGACCCAGATGATGATAAAACATTGGTTTATCTGTGGTGCCTCAGGATGTGGAGCCTGCTTGGTGTTGAGATATTTTCAACTTGACAAAGGCTTTTCATTATCATCCTCACACTCCAAGGGTGGAAAATGCCTCTCAACTAATCTACTCACATAATGCCATTTTCTACTCAAATTTAGAGAACCCAGACACAGTTATGAATAAATCATACTATTACCTGAATGAGGTGATGCTCTGGTGTATACAGGTGGTTGAAAATGGCATGGTATATGACTTGGGCTCTATTACACTGGAGCAAATCAGCAGCTGGCTGCAATCAGACAAATTATCCAGTTAAAAGAAAAGTTTCCAAGATTGGCAACATGTTGATTATTTTTGAAGCTGGAGTATAAGTACGAATGAGTGAAGAATGTATAATCTCAAAATATGCTAGATTGGTATAATGATTATTCTGAATTGAAAACTGGAGAAACTAGTTTCAGAGATAGCATACTGACCTATTTCTTCCCAAATGCAGCAAGCCATAAAGATACCTTTGAGGAGTACCTTTTGTTTTTTTTGGTTTTTTTTGAGTTGGAGTCTCACTCTGTCGCCTAGACTGGAGTGCAGTAGCCGGGAGTGGCCTCGACCTGCTGGGCTCTGGTGATCCTACCACCTCAGCCTTCCAAGTAGCCAGAATTACAGGTGCGCGCTACCATGCCTGGCTGATTTTTGGTTTATTGTAGAGATAAGATCTCGCCAAGTTGCCCAGGCGGGTCTCGAACCCACGGGCTCAGGCAATCCACTCACCTCAGCCTCCCAAAGGCGCAGGATTACAGACTGAGCCACCGAGCCCAGCTCTTTTTTTTTTTAAGATTATATTTATTTATTTTTTGTGTCAGTGTCTCACCCTGTTGCCCAGGCTGGAGCGCAGTGGCATGCTCATGGTCACCGCAGCTTTAGCCTGCTGGGTTCAGACAATTCTTCCACCTCAGCCTTCCTATAGCTGGAACTACAGGTGTGCACCACCATACCTAGCCATTTTTTCTTGATTTATTGTAGAGACGAGGTCTCGCCATATTGCCTACACTGGTCTTGAACCCACGGACTTAGACAATACTCTCGCCTCTGCCTCCCAAAGTGCTGGGATTGCAGGTGTGAGTCACTGCGCCTGGCCCCTTTTAGCTCTTAATGGGCCTTACAGCTGGAGGTAGAAACCAGACTGACATCAAGCAGAAAACAAGAGACATGATGCACATTAATTTTACATGTACATGAGGATCTTCATAAGAGGGTAAAGTCCAAAGATGTGGCCAAAGCAAAATGCTTTTATACTTTTTAGATAAAGAATGGTAACTTTGAGAAGAAATGACAGGACAAAGAAAATCTGGCTAGGGTCGAGGCTGCGGTGGCCGGGAGCATGCCACTGCACTCCAGTCCGGGCAACAGAGTGAGACTCCAACTCAAAATAAATAAATAAATAAATAAGTCAACTGTTAATCACTCAAGGTCTAGTTATTCAGTTTGATAATGACCATCCTTCCTATTTCTCCTATAATTATCCTTTTAGTTATATTATATATGAGATACAACTTCTACCAAGTTGGCGGAGGGAAAATATAAAGAGAAAAATACAATAGGTAAATGTAATGACTTAACACTATTAGAAAGCTAGTTAATAAAAGACATAAGGAAAAATAAAAGTGACATCATAAACAAGAAACAGCCAAGAATGATTCAGTTTGTCCCAGCAGTACAGATGACAGAGAGTAGAGTTGCTTACCACATTAAGTACAATGTGATGAAGGCACTGAACACCCAGGATTTTGTTCTCAGTCTGATAATCATCTGAAATGAGTAATGATGGAGGAAGTATCCTTTCCAGATGTTGGTTCAGCCAGGGTCGAGTGACATGTTGCAGAGTCCATGAGAAAACATGTTTGATGGCAGGATTATGCTTCCAGGATTCCCTAAATGGACACATAAAACCACATAAAGAAAATGTACTAGTTAGACGTAGAGTATTTTCTTGTCCTTGAAAAAAAAGACATCCCACATAGAAGAACTCTTGATTCTATAAATATACATTTTAAGATTTGGGCTAAAATAATGTAGATAATTCACATTTAATATACCCAGGGTTTTGGGTCTAAAGCTTATCCCATGATAATTAGTCACTTTATAACCACAGCTACTTTATATCCCTGTGCTGATGGTGGTGGTTACAGTGAATGTATTGAGATGGGAGAAGTGCACATAATGTATTAAAATTATTATACTAGCCCGGACTCGGTGGCTCAGCCTGTAATCCCGCGCCTTTGGGAGGCTGAGGTGAGTGGATTGCCTGAGCCTGCGGGTTTGAGACCCGCCTGGGTAGGCGAGACCTCATCTCTACAATAAATCAAAAAATTAGCCGGGCGTGGTAGTGCACGCCTGTAATTCCAGCTACTCAGAAAGGCTGAGGCAGAAGGATCGCCGGAGCCCAGCAGATCGAGGCTGCGGTGGCCGGGAGCGGCCACTGCACTCCAGTCTGGGCGACAGAGTGAGACTCCAACTCAAAAACAATAATAATAATAATAATAATTATACTAAGGAAACAAATGAATCAGTATTTGAACACATTTATAGTTTATAAAGTGAATTTACATATGTGACTCAACAAATCCTCAAAATAACTGTAAAATAGGTATATTACCTTTACATTTCAAATAATGGAACTGAGATTCAGAGAGGCTGTCTGACCTGATCCTACTCAGAACAATAAAAAGAAGCACTAGACTCAAACCAAGTCTTTATAACTCTATGTTCCTGGTGAAATGACAGATATGGATATTTTTTTCTCATCACTCCAGGGCTAATAGCAAGTGGAGCAAGTACTCCAGCTAACAGCATCTAAAGGGTTATTTTTTCATCTCATTGTTTCCCTTTCTGTTTTCATTGTTTCCCATCCCTATACAACAGTGAAATCACTAACTTAATTCCAAATTAGCGGGACAGAATGTTCAAGTTTCCAAGCAGCTTTCATGAGGACTGGAAAGAGCACTGGAAAATCGAGCCTGCAGAACTCGGTCATGATCTCAAGACCGCTACTATCTAGTTAAGAGGGAGTCTGACCGAGATAAGAATAAAGTGAATAAAGTGTAGGACGGTCGTATAGATGTAATTTATACCAAATCGCAACCTTTCTTAAGAGATCTGCTACTACAACACCCTTATTTCACTGATGAGGAAACTGAAGTTTCTCTTAGCTCTAACATTCTAAAGCATCAGACCGAGGCTCAAGTCAGTGGCAAAGGTAGACATACTCACTTATTCAAATCAGGTTTGAGAAGCCCCAGTATCAAAGCAAATCTCCCTTTCTCATCTTCATTTTCTCCGCGTAGGAATCCTGCCACAGAACCACATTCAGTAACCTGAAGCAGTAACCTGAGCACCTCTCTAGCAACGTCCTGAGATCTCGGGCTGGTCCATGGTTGCTCCAAGCTGTGTGTGATGGAAAAAATATAGATGGGTCCTGCCAAGTGACGCAAGCCTGTCTTCCATGCAGGACAGACCCCAGAACTCTTGGCAGCCTCCACTTTCTCCAGCAGCTTAAGAAACAGTACCCCAACTTCTGCTGCTTTCTCGGCCACTGCAGGGTGACCATCACCTCTACCTTCCTCCTCCTTGGGTGGGGCAGCATACTTCTCCAGAGCTCCCGCCACCTGCCCTAGGATCTCGCACATTCCGCGGGGCGGGGCGCCAGTCCCCTCAAATAATCTCTCACACTCTGTGGCTTCTACGAGAGCACCGAGGTCTTTAAGAGGTACACCGCTTGCGTTGTTGCCCCGCCGTGCCTCCTGGCCAGTAAGACGGTGCAGGATCTTGGAGAAGTCCTGCCCAAGGGCGGAGGGAGACGACTCTCCAGGCAAGGAGGAGCCTTCCCGGGACGGGGCTTCCCGAGCGCTGTCAAGCTCCATTCTTCAGGTTGCAGCGCGCAAGGGCTGGTCTCCCCTGAGGCCTAGGATGGAGGCGGGGAGGGATTCGCTAAAGAGGGAAGGACCGATCACCCAGAGACTGGATTTCTCAAGAACAGAACTAAAATCAAACCAAATAAAACGGCGAGATGTCTTCAAAGACAGAGTGAGTCTGATCGGGATAAAAATAAAGTGCAAGGGAAGGGACGCCGGAAAGAAGCCTCTCTGATAGTAACAGAGTCTCTGACTTGTAACACTGAAGTAGAAAAACTACTCTCGTTTAAGAAATAAACTTCTGAGCCCTGACGCGAACACAACCACAAACAGACACCTCCAACCTCTCCCACAATGTATATTATCCGGCAGGATCCGGACCGAGATCACATTGCGGCCGCCAAGCCTACGGCTAGCTTCCGCCAATATTGCCGCAACTCTGTCGTTTTACGACGTACAATCGTAAAGCAATAAAGCTCCAGGTTCTCAAAAAAGGCAAAAGGGTGGAGCTATGGAGAATATATTTGCATATATAATACACTCGCTGATTTGGTTTCTGTTTTCGTGTATGAAGTAGAAACAAAATGGTAATCCCGGAATATCAGCGCGATTTAAAATACTACTTTATTTTATATGTCAAAGCTGAATATATCTGGCCCATATTAGTCACCCTTTCTGTAAAATTAGTGGCATATACTTGGGGCTTTTTCATAAGGACGATACCAGCGATCCTTTTGTAGTTCATGTGGCGTGATGATTGGGAGTTCACACGTTTATGTGTGAGATGTGCCACCTTATAAATCTTGTTACGACGTGGGCACATTACCCGTCTGACACTGAGCTTCGAGGATCATTTTAACGCTTCGTGTGTGAGACTGTTTGTTATCAATCAGATAGTTTCCGACTATCTCAGTGTTTAGGTGTTTCCGCTGTTCAGTGGAAAGGGGAGGGTTGTGTTGTGGGCTCTGTAACTTGGTGCTATGTGTAAGTGATTATCCAGATTTTTAGGAGATTAGGAAGCGTGTAAGAGCCCTTAGCTGGAGTTTGGGGCGTCACGGCGGAAAACGAAGTGTCTGGGCGGCGGAGTCCTGGCCGGACCCGCCCCGCGGATATCCACTGGCGTGTGCACCTCTCAACTTCTGCACGCTGCACTGGCCTTGGGCGACAGGGGGCGCCGGAAGCGAGGGGGAGTGGGAGTGGCTGCGGGTTCTGTCCTTTGAGGCGGAGAGAACCGGCAGTGCCTGGTTCGGTTTGGGGACGGCGTGAGGCCACGCGTAAACGTCGTTCGTCCGGTCTCGGCCGCTTGGGTCGGATTAGCCTTCGGTTCCCCAGGAGCTGGTCACGGTCCCCGGCCTTCCCGGGGAGCTCGTGACTCAGTTGCCCAGTGTCGTAGGATCCCAAGGAGGCAGACTTAATGTGTGCCGGGGCCGGGGCCGGGGCCGAGAGATGGAGGCCTCGGGTACCGTGAGTGGTCGCGAGAGCGGGACGGCTCCGCCTCTGCGGGAGAGGGTCCCCCGGATGGCGTCTGGCGCGGGGCCTCTGGCCTTTGCTGCTCCGCGGGCCGGCCTACCGCGCGTTCAGCCACCGGGTCGCCTCTAGGCTTCGGGGTCCCTCCCTCCAGGGAAAGCCCTATGAGGTCTTAGGATCCAGGGTGGTGCGCGCGCGAGTGGAGAACACTGAGAGAGAGGGAATGTGGCAAGGGCAAAAATTCCGTGACCTTTCGGTGCCTTCACTTTTATTTTTTTAAGAGACAAAGTCTTGTTCTATCATCCAGTCTGGAGTGCAGTGGCGTGTTCACTGCCGTCTTGAACTCATGGCCTCAAGCGATCCTCCAGCCTCCGCCTCCCAAAGTGCTGGGATTACAAACAGCCACAGCGCCCCAACGGTGTTTTAATTTCTTTCTTTCTTTCTTTCTTTCTTTTTTAGCTGGAGTCTAACTCTGACGTCTTGTCAGCCAGGCCGGAGTGCGGTGGCAGCCACCGCATTCTCGACCTGCTGGGTTCAGGCGATCCTCCCCGCCTCAGCCTTCCAAGTAGCTGGAACTACAGGCGTGCGCCACCATGCCCAGCTAATTTTTCTTGGTCGATGATAGAAACGAGGTCTCACCAAATTGCCCAGTCTGTTCTCAAACCCCTGAGCTCAGGCAGTCCTCTCGCTTCCACCTCCCGAAGTGCTGGGATAACGGGCGTGAGCCAACACGCCTGGCCACTCTCCGCCTCTTTCATTTGGCCGTCCTTGGTCTGACCCATTGGTGGCACTCATGATTTTCTAAGCAATTTCAACCACTGATACCCATTTCCTCCCGAGTGGAAGCAAGATGCCAATCAATAGACAGTTGTATCCCTCTTGTGTGTGAGCGTTTCTTTACTTCTCCATGTGCCCCTTGTGCTAAGTGGATCCAAGCTCCTGCTTCATTATAAGGAAAGTGCTTGTATTGTTGAGCTCTCCCCCTCTACACTCTGAGTTCCCTGAAGGCAGAGACCATGTCTTTATCCCCAGTGCCTGGCACAATTTGGTTGTGCAATAGATGTTTGAACCCACATGTCCATCCGCAGAGGGACTGGCTGAATAAACCACATCCATCCACACAATACAGTTCTGTGTCCCTGTACAGAGGAAAGAGGACTATCTTTGTGGCAAGCGCTGGAACTCTGGGATATATTGTGAAGTGAAAAAGCAGGGCAGAGGCCATGAGCATGTTGTCTTTCTTGTAAGGAAGATGGAGAAATCTACATAATGAGGTGTGCATTTTGCTTACAGATTGAAGAAGCAATAAAGTCTAATTTACAAACGAATACAAATGGTTACATGTAGGAAAAGAACGGGGTGACGGAAATGGGAAGGGAGGCTAGATTCCCATAGTATTGACTGTGTTTTATAGTTTTGATTTTGGAATCATGTAAATGTTTTACATAATTATTATTTAAAAGAAAGTTTCGGCCTGGTGTGGTGGCTCACTCCTGTAATTCCAGCACTTTGGGAGGAAGAGATGAGAGGAATGAATGAACTCACTGGTTTTAGACCAGCCTGGGCAACTTGGAGAGACTTCGTCTCTACAATAAATCAAAAAATTAGCCGGGTGTGGTGGCACGTGCCTATAGTTCCAGCTACTTGGAAGGCTGAGGCGGAAGGATCACCTGAGCCCAGCAGGTCGCGACTACGGTGCCTGTGAACGTGCCACTGCACTCCAGCCTGAGCAACAGAGTGTCTCCAAATAAAAAAAAATTAAAAAAAATAAAAAAATTAGTCAGGCATGGTGGACGCACACCTGTGGTTACAGTTACTTGGAAAACTGAGGTGGAAGGACTACCTCAGCCCAGCAGGTTGAGGCTGGGGTGGCCCTGAGTGTGCCACTGTACTCCAGTCTGGGCGATAGTGAGACTCTGACTCAAAAAAAAGAAAAGAAAGTAACAAAGTATTTCCTAAAAGAAAAGGGAGAGCATATTGAATCACTGGTATAGCCACATAGAAAAATAAGAAACTGACTTCAAAACGTATTAATTTAGGCCAGTTATGGTGGCTCACACCAGCACTTTGGGAGGCCGTGGTAGAAGGATTGTTTTTTAAAAAAAACTCTTTAATTTGACTTTTTATTTTTTTTTATTTTTTTTATTTTTGAGTTGGAGTCTCACTCTGTCACCTAGACTGGAGTGCAGTGGCCGCTCCTGGCCACTGCAGCCTCGACCTACTGGGCTCTGGCGAGCCTTCTGCCTCAGCCTTCCAAATAGCTGGAACTACAGGCACTCGCTACCACACTCGGCTAATTTTTGATTTATTGTAGAGATGAGGCCTCGCCAAGTTGCCCAGGCGGGTCTCGAACCCACGGGGTTCAGGCAATCCACTCACCTCAGCCTCCCAAAGCGCGGGATTACAGGCTGAGCCACCAAGCCTGGCCTAATTTGACTTTAAATCCTTACTGTGGCAAAGCCTAAAAACAGAAAAGAATGGCATATAAATCAACTGTATTTAATAATAGTATTTTAGAAATCATACTGGTATTGTTATTTAGGTGTTATTACATGTATTGTGTATAATTTACTTGTGTATAAAATAGCAAATAAGTAATTATCTTAAGATTGTTAGAAACCAAGATTTTCAGGTAAAGATAACAGAAATACAAATCTGAAATCAGTGAAGTTAAATGTAAAATATTTTGAGTTTTTTTGTTTGTTTTTGAGTTGGAGTCTCACCCTCACCCAGGCTGGAGTACAGTGGCATGATCACACTACGGCAGCCTCAACCTGCTGGGCTCAGACAATCCTCTGCCTCAGTCTTCCAGGTTGCTGGTACAACAAGCGCATGCCACCATGCCCAGCTAATTTTTTCATTTATCGAAGAGTTGAGGTTTCACCGTGTTGCCCAAGCTGATCTTGAAACCCTGGACTCAGGCACTCCTCTCGCCTCAGCCTCCCAAGTGCTGGGATTACAGGTGTGAGCCATCATACCCAGCCAAGTATAAATTCTATAATCTGAAATTTGGCAATGTCAGTATGAATTCATAATTAATTTGCCTCATTCTATAAAATATGTATATGCTGCTTGTATCCACGAAAAGACCGAGAAGCAATCCTGGTATTCAAATTCATAGTCTAAATGTCATTTCCCACTGAAAGGCACCAGTGAATCTTTAGGAAATGATTGATTTCAAAACTGGGGCAGGATTTGCAAAACATGAACCAGCCTGTGGCATTTTGTTATGCTAGAAGCAGGGAAGCTACCAAATGCTACAGAGGTTATGTAAAAAGAACCCAAGACCAAGGTGAAGGGGCATCCTGTAGCCAAAGATAAAACACTTTGAGTATGAAAAAGAGCAATGGGCCAGGCGCAGTGGCTCACACTGTAATCCTAGGGCTTTGGGAAGCCGAGGTAGGAGGACTGTTTGAGGCCAGGAGTTTAAGATCAGTCTGGTCAACACAGCAAGACCATGTCTGCATAAAAAAAGGTGACTGCGATGACTTGAAACATATCAAATATATACAAATCCATGAATTTATAATGACACTAAAAAATATCCCTCATCATTCACCTCTGGGTCACTCAAGAAACTAATGTTTATTTTTATTTTTGAGAAAGCAGGATTTATTAAGAGTACAGAAAAGCTCTCAC